TGCCTTGAAAAACCTCTTACCCTAAACATTCAGCACTACACTTGGGTCCTATAATACCCAAGTGTAGACCCAGCCAGCTGTGATAAAGACTTTTAAGTGGCTATAAACTGTGTCTGAATGGTCACTTCTGGCGGGCTCCTAATAACTGTTTCTGGAGGATTAAGGTTGGTTCCGAGAAAACAGGAACCCACCTTAGGAGATGTGCTTTCCTTTTAAATAGAAATTAATCTTTGAGTTTGTTTATAATAGTTATGTTTACTGTTGGAGAGTATTCAATCATACTGTGACCCCCAAGTTTGTATTTGCATTAATTAAATAAAATCAATCTTGGGTCAGGAGGGGGAGCCAGGAACTAGTTGACAAAAAGTAATTCTAGAGAATCAGAAGGAGTCTGGAAGTTGGACAGAGAGACTCTGCACAGGAAGTAGTAGTGTGGCCGTTTTTGTTGTTGTTGTTGTTTTGGCAGAGCAGAAGAATACTCTCTTTCTGAGTTGCAACCTCTTGAGCTAGTAGGTCTTCACCCCAGCCTCTCACTCCCAAGTCTTATTGAAAACAAGAACAATAGAGATTTAGTTAAAACTACATTTGGTGGCAGCAGGAGGCACACAGGGCTGAATATAAATGTCCTGCTGGGCCACTGTCAGAGAAGCTGGCCAGTAACTGTGGAGAAGAAATTGCAGGCTGAAACAGCAGTAGATTCAGATGCAGTCACTGTGCCAATAGGAAAACAACGGTTCTCTATGTCACAGTCTTTCTGTTTAAGACAATGTTACCAGCATTGCCATGGGGGGTGTGGGAAAGGGCTTTGGACCTAACACTGAGGAACTACATCTGAGGTTGACCTCTGGCTCTGGTCCCCAAGTACATGCATACACAAATACACAGAGCAAGAAGCAGACCAGGGTGGAGCTGGGTGCAGCCAGGACAACTACACCCTCTCTCTAAGAAAGAGCTTAACTTTAAAGGACTTCATTATACCTCGGGTTTGGCCAAGGTGGTGACCAAGAAGTCTGTCTGACAGTTTCCAAAACTGGTTTGCTTCCTTTAAATACTCAGCAGGGAGTTTTTGTTAAAAAAACATTTGTGAAAAGACTTTAGAGAAACTAACGTAGAAGCAAGACCTTGGGGCTTTAAGCCAGCTGGGCAGGTGGAGCACTTATCCTACAAGTGTGAGGACCAGAGTTAAGATTCCAGAACCCATGTCAAAGCCTGGTAGGCATGGCAGCCTGCCTGTAACCCATCACATGACAGGTATAGACAGGGCTTCTCAGAGCAAACTAGCTTGCAAGACTGCCAGAATGGCAAACTCTAGATCTAGTGACAGACCTTGCCTCAGTAAATAATGTAAGGAGTAACTGAGGAAGACACATGACATCAGCTTTAATCCTTGACATGCACACATGCATATACACACAAACACATATCCACATACATATAAACATACATATGCGTGTGTGCAGACCACACACACATAAACATACAAAAATTTTAAAAAGCAAACCTTGAGATGCACATGGAAAGCAGTTAGAGGACCCTACCCCCAGTAACAAACAATGCACACCTTACACAGAGTGATGGACCAGCCTGCCTCCATTGTAGGCTTGAAAGCCATCTTATAGTAAAGACAAACTAGGCTCATTCCTGTTTATCATTAAATCTGCCTCTCAAAGATAGGGCTGTGCTCCATCTGTAACCTTAATTATAAATGTTTCTATACTGCCTGTTCCAGGAAATGGCAACCATGCCTTTGTTTCAGAGGGCTATTATGGCCACCTTGTTATAAGTACCTTATGACCATTTGTAACCATGTCTTTGTTTCAGGGGGTTGTTATAGCCAACTTGTTATGCTTATGTTCTGCTTCTGTAACCCCAACTATCTGCCTGCCAAATCCCCCATTTGGAAACCCCCTATTCCTGAACTATAAAATCCCTTATCTTGATGGGCATGGTGGCACATGCCTTTAATCCCAGCACTCAGGAGGCAGAGGCAGGTGGATCTCTGAGTTTAAAGCCAGCCTGGTCTACATAACAAGTTCCAGGTCAGCCAGGGCTGCACAGAGAAATCCTGTAAGAAAACAAAACAAAACAAAAAACCCACATTATCTTACCCATGTCTAATGCTAATCTCTTGAACCCCACCTTTAGGGAGAGACAACCGGTATACACAAATAAAAAAGCTTGCTGTAATTACTTTGGCCATGATGATTTGGGTCAGTAACCTTTCTCCTTGCATCTGATTAACACCAGACACACAAACACACTTCATCCCTGGTCCAACCTAATAAACATAAGACCTTTTTATTAAAGGGTTTTTTTGCATATGTTAATTAAAATCACTAATGGTTTCTTTATGATTATATTTTCACCCATGTACATAATGTATTTTGCTTGTATTCACCCTTTCTTTTCCCCTTCCACTCCCACTGATCCCCTTCCTCTTCCTAATTACTCTCTCCTCTATTTTTCATGTCTGTATGTGTAACAATGAATTTCATGAGCGCTGCTTACAGGAGCATGGTGGGGGTTTATTTAAAGGAGGGTGGGCACCTTTCCAGGGGCTATACTACTGAAGAAAATGTCTCTTTGTCTCTGCAGCAACCATTAACTTGTCTGTAAATCCTCAGAGAGGGGTGAGGCCTTCTGAGGGTCTCCCTGCTCCATGATAGAGTGTTGGCAGACAATCTACACAGGTAGTCACAGCTGCTGTTGGGGTGTCAACTTTACCCCTTAGTTTAGAGTGATGAAGTGGAGAGCACTTGATACCTTGACCACCTGTCTGTCACCGCCATTATCTTCACTCCCCATTTCAGGCCCTTCAGTTGGCCATCCATCCTTCTTTATGCCCTATGTTGGCGGACTGTGGATTAGTCTCTTCCACAGCTGACCTCCTGACTAACAGGACCAGAACAAGAGTCAGGTTAAGAAAGAGTTATCTGCCACTCATCTTAAAACTGGGACATGGCTATGGGTGTCCCTAGGAGAAGATCTGTGAGTCCCAAGAGTTCATTCCTTAACAATGAAAAATAAGCAAACCAACCAGCCTGGGACATCAGTGTTTTCCTGACTTTGGAGTAAGACTCAGATCAGAACTTTTGCAATCGGTCCTCTTGCTCTAAGGGCTTTTGATTTTGACCAATGCTAGGTCATAAACAACCTTGGTTGTGTAGCTGAGAGCAGAGCTTGGGTCTTCAGCCTTCTTAACTGTATGATACACAGAGATCTGCCTGCCTCTGCCTCTGCCTCCTAAATGCTGGCATTAAAGACGCATGCCCCCATGCCCAGGGAACCAGTGCTTTCTATTAAGCTTCTTTACACACACCCTCACACTCTGGGTTCTATTTCTCTGGAGAACTCTGACTAACCCTGGGGGTTAGTGCATTTAAAAGAACCAACTAATGGGGGATATTAGAGTGGAGGGGGTAGCCCAAACCTTTAATTCCAGCACTTTGGAGGCAGAGGCAGGCAGATTTCTAAGCTCGAGGCCAGCCTGGTCTTTAGAGTGAGTTCCAGGCCAGGCAGGACTACACAGAGAAACTGTCTTGAAAAACCATACCAAACAAACAAACAAACAAAAAAGAACGAACTAAATTCAATCAAAGTGTGGTTTGAGATCGCTCAGGAAATTTAATCAATTAAAGATGAAAATTGTGAGATATAAATAAGGAAGATAATCTGTAAGGTTTGTGGGCTAATTGAAAGTTGGCCATAAACCAAGTAGAAAAATATCTTTATACAAAGATCCCTGGATGTGTTAAGTTAATATTTGTAAACATATTTTTAGGCTTAAAAGATGTGAGATAGTTAAATATATTATTCTAACTTACAGACTAGTAATTGTTAGGAATTCAGGCATTATGCTGGCCTGCCCCATCACCTGGCAGGATGTACTCAGGCAGTACCCTGGCCAGCCCATGGCCCTTTGGCTGATACATAGGCCGTATCACTGGTATCACTGCATAGTCTGTATGGGGGTGCAAAAGTCCCTTTATAGGGAAAACTCCACCTACTTCCACCGTCTTTCATGCTCTTCCTCTGAAGGGGCAGACAGGACTCTCTCCCTCTCTCTTCCTATCCCCCTTCCCTTCCCTTTCTCCACTCCCTTCCCTTTCCCCTAACAAAACTTCCCACTTAAGCTCTGTCTGTTTGTCCCTCTTTCCCCATGGAATGTGCAAAGGTCCTCCAGCACCACATTACAACAGTAATTAAAACACTAGTAATACTGAGTATTATTTTCACACCCCAAAGAACCCTCAGGATTGTGTTTTAGAAAACTCATCAGACTATTAATGAGCTGGCTCAATTGGTAAAGCGCTTGTCACAAAAGCACGAGGGCCTGAGCTCAATCCCTAGCATCCACATAGGAAGCTGGGTGTTTTGGTGCATGCTTGTAATCCCAGCACTGGGGAGGCAGATGCCAGCAGATCCCGGGGGCTCACAGACAAGGCAGGTGTTAGTTCAATTGCTGAACTCCAAGTGATAGTGAGAGACCCCATCTCCAAACCTGGGTGGTTGGTTCCTGGGAAATAACATCTCAGGCTGACCTGTGGTCTTTACACAAATGGGTGCGCATGTGCTATCCACAATTTGCTGGGTGTACCTTCCTATATATTTCTTGCTTAACCCTAATCTGGTCAATACCATACTTCATGCAGGCCTCACAAGGTCACCTGACCTATTGAATCCAGGGGTCATTGGTAGCAAATTCCAGACCTTCCCGGCCTTGCTTTTTCTCCCTTAGCTTGGCTCTCCTCCCGGCATACTGCACAAATACTTATTCTGCGCTTACAGAGAAATCAGAACCAGACGACCAGAACGTCTCTATCTTAGCTCCAATGGGGTCCGCGACACGCGAATAGAATGACAAAGTCCCTGAGGGGCTCGCTCCTCAGCTGCCTGAATACCACCGTGGAGAGCTCAGAGTGGAATCTCTGCTGGACCAGAACGCAAGCGCGACTCCAAACCCCTCCCACCAAGCCCCGCCCCGGCCACAAGGCCCCGCCCCCAGGTCCTAGACCGTCATGCTTTGCGCCTGCCGGATCCGGCGCGGGAGTTCGGCTTTCCTAGACGTCTGTAGAGGTGAGCTCTCACGCCGAGCTGTGAGCAGGAGCTGTGAGCGGGGGAGTTCTCCTGCATCTCTCATCTTCCGGGTGCTGTTGGTTCCGGCTGTAGGAAGCAGCCCTGTTGGGCAGGGCGGAGCGCTGTGGGTGGGACCCTTCTAAAGCCAGAATCCCAGATCTGCTGCTGGGCCAGGTGCGGGGCTTACAGGAGACCTCTCTGGGACCTCGCCTGTCCTAGGCCTGTTTCCTCTTGGGAAGAAAGACTTAAATGACGGGATGCAGAACCCTGCGTTCTGTTTGCAGAAGTGTATTGCGTATCACACGCTCTTCGTAAATAGGAATTCAATGACGTTTTATCCAAAGATAAATAATGATAATTGGTGACATAGTCATAGACGAAATAAGGTGCCCAGAATGTTCAAAAGTGTGCCTGTGAGACCCTGTCTCAAAACAATAACAAAACAGTATTGACTATGGTAATGAGTCAGGCTGATGGGCGGTTTGGGTTTATTTGTGTACATGTAAGACAATATTTTTTGAGGTGAAATGCTTGCTCTGGACCCCTAACAGCCTGTGATCAGTTATTGAGCCTGTACTGTCAGTGACTAACATGCCAAACAAAGTACCTACCACACAATGCATGTCCTGACTGACAGGAGTTTATTTCCCTTAATTCAAGATGCTGGACTTCAAAACAGAGGTATGGCTAGGCTCAGCTACCTCAGGCCTTTCTCCTGGGCTAGCACATGGCCATCTTTCCCCTGTACCCTGACGTGGTATTTTCTGTGTGTGTGTCCTAATCTTAGAATGAAAGCAGTGAGATTTCATCAGAGTCTTCCCAAGAACCTTCTGTTTCCATCTCACAGACCTAAGCTCCAATACATCCTAAGATAATGAAACTCTGGCCTCAAACATAGGAACGTGGGGTTGGTGACACAATTCAGTATATGACACTGCCACTTGGGATTTTAGCCAATAAACCTGTCCCAACTATATCTTATTTTCACAGCTGAAAATCAACTGTTGTGGTATAGGTTCCAGAGTTATGAGCATATTTCTTTGACTGTATCAAGTCAACCAGCTGCAAATCAAAATGTTTTGGGGAAGTTTTCATCTGTACTGAACATGGCTTTATTTCCCTAAATAATACAGCATCACAATGACATATGTAGTATTTGCATTATAATAGATACTGTAAGTAATTAGAGGTGAGTTAGAATATAGGTAATTGCAAATACTAAGCTGTTTTTGTGAAAGGTGAACATTTGAAAGTCTTGGAGTCGTGGGGGTCTTGAATCTAATCCCCTAAGGATATGCATATGTAGTGCATATTTATGTGTAAGATTTAAAGTGTCCCTGTTTATTAATATTACAGGTATTTCCTAGTACAGTTAGCCTTCTGTGTCCATGGATATATAATCAGTCAGCCAAGAATTAGAAATATACAAGACAAATTGTGTCCACTGAGCTTGCAGACATTTAATAGAGTCTAACTCTACTACGTTGTATTACATGTTATAAGTAGTATCCAGATACTTTAAAATATGAGACATATGCATAGGCTATATGCAGGTACTATGCTATTTGTATAAAGCAGCTAGTGGTCTTTGAATGTTTATATCTGCAGGGAACCCAGAACGAAACCCTTGCAGCCACCGAGGGACAGCCAAATATGTTATGCTCTCAGAACTGTGTCTAGCGCGTGTGGTTCATCATAAGTCAGTTAGAAATTCACTGTGGGCTGAGTGGTGGGTGGAGCGGGGCTCTTGAGTACTTAGTGCTGTGTCTAGCTGTGGCAGTAACAATAATTACAGTCATTGCCAGAAGGATGTCCTTTTACTGTGAGACACTGAAGTCTTCTCTGTATATCTGTTTGCTGCAGTTGCTGAGGTCATTGCTGCATACCTGCCTCGCAGACAGAGAGATGCTGTGACACCCCGAGGTGGTCTGACTCCGGAGCCATACCCTCACTCACAATGCAATGTCACCTCAATTAAGAACGATGTGGCCCCAGAGGCTGCTCAGTCTGTAACCTGACAGAGGCACCGGCTGACTTCTCTTATTCTTGGCCAAATTACCCACAGAGGCAATACTCATGGCTGGTCCCCTGTGGAGGGCTGCAGCCTTTATACAGAGACACAGGACAGGACTGTTGGTGGGTTCCTGTGCAGGCCTGTTTGGGGTTCAAATCTCATTCCACCTCTTCTCCAACCCCATAGTCCAGTGGCTCTACCAGTACTGGCCTCAGGGTCAGCCCGCTCCTCTTTCCCCTCAGCTCCAGAGCCTCTTCCAGGAGGTGCTACAGGACATGGGTGTCCCCTCAGGTCATTGCTACAAGCCTTTCACTGCCTTTACTTTTCAGCCTGTGAGTGGTGGCTTCCCAAGACTTCCTTCTGGGGCCGTGGTGGGAATCCCTGCCATCTACCTGGGTGGCCCTGTGACCGCCATCGACCATACTGTGATCATCCATGGGCAAAGAGTGAACTGGCAGAGCCCAGCAGGCACCAGGCTGAGAGATGCCCTGACCCTGTCTCATAATGCTCAGAAGTTTGCTTTAGCCAAGGAGGTGGTATACCTGGAGAGCAATGTAGCTGCCCTTCAGATCCTGCCAGCCCCAGCTTGCCTAGCAGGAACCTGGGTACTGAGTGTGGGTGCCAAGCATGCCCTGGGGCTCTATGGAGGCCCTGCAGGCTTTCGAGCTGCCTTTAACTTGGTGGCAATAGTGGCTGGCTTTGTGGCCTACACCTTTTCCAAGGACTCCCTCACTGTTGCCCTGGAAGGTTGGCTGGACCGCCGCACAGCCTCTCTGTCTGCAGCCTATGCCCATGGTGGAGTGGAATTCTATGAAAAGATCCTGTCAGGCAACCTAGCCCTCCGAAGTCTTTTGGGCAGACAAGGGGAGAAGCTGTACACACCAAGTGGAAACATTGTCCCCAGACACTGGTTCCGCATCAAACATTTACCCTACACCACCCGCCGGGACTCTGTACTACAGATGTGGAGAGCGACACTCAACCCAGGGCGCTCCTGAGAAGCCAGCCAACAGGGCACTGCTGGCTCACGTAGGCACCACCCTGGGATGAATTCTGGGGGAATCTTTTGCTATGGTTGCATCCATAGCCAAGGTCAGAACAGTATGGAATTAAACCATTCAATTCTGTCCTCACCATGAGTGAACTTGGTGACTGTGGATGAGTCCCTAAATGAGTCTGAGTATTGTTTACATCAGCTGAGTAGTGCGAAGGATTGAATGGAAGGTTGCATGAGATCGTGAGCCTGAGTCTGGTAGGGAGCAACATGAACAGTGCTGGTCTTTCTTGGTCTTTGAATTCCAGTGTGCTGTGGGAGTTGGATCATGAGTCACTGGACACGTTTCTGGGGTGTTGATCCTCTCCTACAGTGGGAGAAGCACCCCAATCTACCTGATGCCAAATAGCTAACTTATTCCTCACCTTTAATCCTTGGAAAAGGGACCCACAGCAGGGCAGGATGAGGAGAGCTGTCATCAGAGAGCCAAGCCTAAGTTGGCTATTTGTGTTGTCTTCACATTGGAAATTTCATCTTCCCTGGTGGCAGTCTTGAAGGATGTCTTCCTGGGACCAGTGTAACTGAGGGAAGGGTACTCTGGCATCTGGACAACCTTGTAGAAAGAAGGGTGAATCAGGCTAGGCTGAAGAGTGACAGCGTGGACTACCACTGGCTTCTGGCTTCTGCTCGGACTTTGTATGTGATCTAGAGCTCAGTGTGCTGCCAGCTGCAGGGGCTTCCCCTGGGCATGGCAGGCTGAGCTCTTGGGGACAAGGGACTTCACACCTTTCAGGTCCTTAGCACCTGGGGCAGCATACGGTATGGGCCTGATGAATGGATGGTGCACTAACTTCCTTTTCTTTTGATGTGATAAAAATACTCTGACCAAAGGCATCTCCAGGAGAGAGTTTATTTGGTTTACACTTCCAAGTCATAATCCATTTTGGAGAGAAGTCAGAGCAGGAACTCAAGGCAGGAATCTGGAGGCAGGAGCCATGGAGGAACACTGCCTGCTGGTTCACTTTCTGACTCACAGGCTCATTCGTACATAGCTTTCGTATATATATATATATATTTCATATTCATATATATATATATATACATATATATAACCCAAGACTACCTACCCATGGATAGTACCATCCACAAAGGACTGTTCTTTTCCTCATTACCAGTTGAGATAATCCCCCATGAACACCCATGACAGAGAGAGAGAGAGACAGAGAGAGAGAGAGAGAGAGAGAGAGAGAGAGAGAGAGAGAGAGAGAGAGAGAGAGAGAGAGAGAGAGATCTAGGCAGTTCCTCATTTGAGACATTCCCTTCTCATGACTCTAGGCTGTGTCTAGTTGACAAAGCTAACTAGTACAGATGGATAGTTACTGGATGAATGGTTCTCCATCCTGGCTAACAACACTCCACAAGTTCTCTGCGGTACCTGACTTAGCCTGTGTCCATTTCCTCCCTTGTCCCTGAATGCAATGGTATTGTGGATAAATGGCCCTTTGTGGCAGAGACACCTGGTTTGCCTTTCTCAGGAAACTGAAACTTAAATTCAGTTGTGAGAGTGGGAGAGTTTAACCCCTTCACTAAGTCCTGGGGTTAAAGGTGTTTGCTACCACTTTTGGTAATTGTTTAGGTTGCCATTGTTAGATCGGGATAGGTGGAGGGGACATGAAAATAAAGCTGACCAGCATCTCCAGAAGCAGAATTGTTACTTTAATCAGAATGACTGAAGGGCCACGGCCTGAGGAAGTGGAGACTGCATTACACGGGCATTGAGGTGTTACAAGAGGGAAAGGACTTTTGAAGATTCCACCTGCAGATCTGTTCCCCTGCAGTCTCAAAGCAGCAGCTACCATCAAAGAGGCACATTGATCCTCTTACCAGAAACATCCTGAGCATGGCTACACATGTGCATGTAGCCCCATCAGTGGTGAGGGAGCAGAGGCAGGAGGATCACTGCTGCCAGAGTAGCTCCAGGTTCAGTGAGAGACTGGCTGAAGACAGTGAGGCAGAGAGCCAGAGGGGCAGCTAGGCAGTTAAGTGTGCGCTTTGCTCTTTCAGAAGACCTGGGCTTGGTTCCCAGCACATACATTGGGCAGCTGATGACGACATGTAACTTCAGCTTCAGAGGGTCCAACACCCGCTTCTGGCATCTGTAGGTGTTACACTCACATATACATAACCACACACAGAAACACAACTAAAAATGAAAATTAAAAAAAGAAATAGAGTGGAGACCAAGATACCTGACATCTTCCTCTGGACTCTTGATGCACACACATGGATGTATACCATACGTGCACACATAGAGTGAGAAATGGTCTTTTACAACCGTTATACTAATCCTGTAACAGTGAAGAATAGTCAGTGTTACTGAGTTGCGGTTAAATTGATGCAACCATATACTCTTGGTGGCAGTTGACTCTTTGGACCCTGTAACTGCAAACATTGAAATTTGTTCTAGGCGTATAACCCACAGGCTTAAATAGTATATGTCTGAAGATACGCATAAGAACGTGCACATTGCCGGGCGGTGGTGGCGCACGCCTTTAATCCCAGCACTCGGGAGGCAGAGGCAGGCGGATCTCTGTGAGTTCGAGACCGGGCTGGACCGATAGCCTCCGAAACAATACAGAGAAACCCTGTCTCGTAAAAAAAAAAAAAAAAAAAAAAAACCGTGCACATGGTGTAAGTAGTTTTAAAAATAGCAACAGTAGAAATGTTGAATAAAAATGACTTAGGAAACCATGAGTGTTGTTTAGGTACTAAACATTATTCAAAAGGTAAGTATGAAAATTGGGCTGAGGATTTGGCTCAGTTGGTAGGTAGGTTGCCTAGCAGCACAAAGACCTGGGTTTGATTCTCAGCACCAGGTATGGTGGTACACACCTGCAAATCCCAGCACTCAGGAAGTAGAGTTAGGCCTTTGGGAGGTTCATAGTTATCCTGGGATATATGAATTCGAGGCTAGCCTGGAATACATGTGATGTGTCTCAAAAAGGAGATTAATCATGAGAACTAGTAGGAATGTGTGGGAATTTTAGTTATAGCTGACACATATGCCAAATATATATTGATAGTCAAAAAGGATTAAAGCATAAAGCAAAAAAAGAAGACTTGTGTATGACAGCCACAATAATGGAAACATGTAAGACCTGGGAGAGAACTCAGAATTGTATGTGTGTGCGTGTGCGTGTGCGTGTGTGTGTGTGTGTGTGTGTGTGTGTGTGTGTGTGTGATCATATTCAAAGGGGCATGGACTTTACACCCTCTTTCTGCCTCAAGGTGACAGATCCTAGCATCCCTGCTTCTGGCCCTGCATTCTTGGGCTGTGGCCAACTTTCAGTAGCTGTGGAAGCCATGAAAGCCTCCTCGAACCCGCTGTGGGAGCAGATTTCACTGGCAATTCCAGTTGTTTTCCAGGCTCCATCACCACATTCACCTGAAGCTGTGCTTGGGCACAGTGACAGTGCCCCTCCAGGCAGCTCCTCTCCAGTGGGAGATTGGCTCCGAGATGACTCCTGGCCCCAGGAGAACTCTGGTATCTGGGGCTCTTCATCTGCCTGCTTCCGTGTCAGGATGATTTTTTAGAGCTGGGGAAGAGAGCTCAGTCAGTAGAGTGCTTGCTTTGCAAGCAGGGGGAATGAAGTTTGATTCCCCAAAACCCACATTTTAAAAAAAGCTAAGCTTGTAACTCTGGAGACAGAGGCAAATGGATTCCTGGGGCTCACTGGCCAGCCTAGCCTATTCATTGATTTCCAGGTAAATTGAAAGACAGTTTCTCAAAAAGTAAGGTAAAGACAAAGACAGAATAAAGGCACTTGCCACCAAACCCACACGTGGAGAAAAAGAGAGAACCAGCTCACACAGCTGTCCTCTGACCTTCTCGAGTATATAATGGCACTCGGGGACAGACTCATAAACAAACAAACAGATAAATGTGATTTTAAAACTTTTTAAAAGGTGGTAGCAGGACTTGAGAGTTGACTCAGTGTTTAAGAGCACTTGCTGCTCTTCCATAGGACCCGTATCCAGTTTCTAGCACCCACACTGGGCTGCTCACAACCACCCACAACTCCAGCCCCAGGGGATTCAACACCTTCCTTTGACCTCCTTGGACACCCATACACGTGGCACATGTATATATGTATGTATGTGTGTGTGTGTGTGTACATATGTATACACATATATATTTATACATGCATGTTTATACATATGTGTGTGTGTATATATGTATGTGTGTGTGTGTGTGTTTTTAAAAAGATGCGCATTGGCTGAAGATGTCCAAGGTTGACCTCTGGCCTCATGCACGTGTGCTCCACCCCATTCACACCTCCAACCTCTCCCATCTCTTCCCCTTGCTCCTTCATACACTTTTCTCCTGGTATCCCTGATTGTGTAATCTCAGGGTACCTCAACGAACACTGTTGCTCTCTCATCCAGACAGGTATATGAGTTCCATTGTCTTCACGTCCACCCTGGGTAGCTCTCAATTCATGATAACATGTGAGATCAGCACATGGGAAATGCTTGAAGGAGCACAGGAGAGGACATCTAACTCAGACTGAAAGGGTAGCAAGGACTTCCCAGGAGAGATGCCCCGCTGTCCAAACCCAAAGGGTTGGCCGACATATGCCCTGTCCTTGTATGACACTCTTTATGTGCCATGTGTTTTGTTTGCATACATTGGCTTATGTGAGTCCTACAGTAGTCATTACTCTGTTGTAGTCTGAATATTTGTGTCACGCCAAATTTCATGCACTGAGCCTGGAACCTCTGTCTGGTAATTTTAAATGGTAAGGCCCCTGGGGAGATGTCCTGGTTCGACTCTCTGTTGCTGTGACAAGACACCGACCAAAAGCAGCTTGGGAAAGAATGCATGTATCTGGCTTATAGGTTACAGTCCATCATCAAGGAAGGATCAACGCAGGAACCTGGAGGCATGAGCTGAAGCAGAGACTGTGAAGGAATGCTGATGAATGACTTGCTTCCCAGATCACGTTCAGCCACCTTTCTTATACAACCCTGAAAATTATCAATTCAGCTAGGGTGGCTGGACAATGAGCTTCTGGGGTTTGCCTGTGTCCATGGGGCTGTAGCCAAGCCCACTGCCCTGTTCAACATTTCAAAATATAT